TGATGTGATTGGAACAAAAAGGTATACAAGATGAAGTGGTAAGGTGAGGTTTAGGCCACACCTCTTTCATAAAGAGACTTGTGTGTTCAGCAAAATAAATTTGAATTTTATCCTGATCGCTTAGGAAGCTTGATGCTTGAACTTAGACTTTGAGGTCTGGATATGGGAGGAAATGAATAAACATAAAAATAATATACAGCAAAACATAGGACCCAAAAAATCTTTTTATTTAAAAAAAATTTTAGGGCCAGGCACGGTGGCTAACACCTATAATCCAAGCACTTTGGGAGGCCAAAGCGGGTCTGGGTAACAACAGCAAAACTTCGTCTCAAAAAAAAAAAAATTTTTTTTAAATGTTTGTTCCATTACAAGTTTCTGTCTTGTATTTATTTCCATGAATATAAAAGTTTTGGCAGGCTTAAGTGGTTAGAGTAAAATGAAATGTAAAAAGGAAATTGCTTAGTGTGAAGATTTGGGATTGGAATGGGAGATAGAAGGAAACACAAAGAGAGAGAGATAGAAAAGGAAAGAGGGGCCAAAAGGTGACAGAGTTGGAAGAGAGAAGAGGAAACAGATACTTAATCTTCATTCTATAGACACTCAGTGGAAAGAATTTCTAATACCAGGATTCATGCAGTACTTTGTGGCTTTAAAAAATTTACTTCTTCTAATTGTTGGTTTAACAATGGCCATTGGATGCTTTGTCTTGTTTGTTTTTAAGGGGATAGAAGATCATCCCCTTTTACATTCTTAACATCTTTAGTGTTCTCCAGACCATATAGGTATATATGTTTTTTGTTTTGGTGTATATGTTTATATTACTTTGTTATGTTACATCAAATTAAGAATATCAATTTTCAGCCAGGTACAGTGGCACATACCTGTTATCCCAGCTACTTGGGAGGCTGAGGAAGGAGAAACACGCAAGCTCAGGAGTTTGAATCCAGCTGGGATTCAAACTCATCTCTTAAAAAAAAAAAAAAAGCCAGGTGCAGTTGTACACACCTGTAATCCCAGCACTTTGGGAGGGCAAGGTAGGAGGATTGCTTGAAGCCAGGAATTCAAAACCAGTGTGGGCAACATAGCAAGAACCCATCTCCACACTCACACAAAAATGTTTTAAATTAGCTAGGCATGGTGGCATGTGCCTGTAGACCCAGCTACTTGAGAGGCAAAGATGGGAGGATAACTTGAGCCCAAGAGTTCAAGAATACAGTCAGCGAGCTATGGTGACACCACTGCACTCCAGCCTGGGCAACAGAGTGAGGTCTTGTTGAACCTGTCTCTGAAAGATAAAAAAGGCTGGGCACGATGGCTCATGCCTGCAATCCCAGCACTTTGGGAGGCAGAGGCAGGTGGATTACCAGGTCAAGAAATTGAGACCATTCTGCCCAACGTGGTGAAACCCCATCTCTACTAAAAATACAAAAATTTAGCTGGATGTGGTGGCATACACCTGTAATCCCAGCTACTCAAGAGGCTGAGGCAAGTAGATCACTTGAACCCAGGAGGCAGAGGTGGAGGTTGTAGTGAGCTGAGATGTTACCACTATACTCCAGCCTGGTGGCAGAGGGAGACTCTGACTCAAAAAAAAAAAGAGAGAAAAGAAAAAATTTTCATATCTACCCTTCTGTAGTAGTTTTTAATAAGACAGAATTAATCATGGCTTTCTTATACATAATATGTATTAGATTTTATTAAGCTTACTAAATTAAATATTACTCTGAATTTAAGAATTTTCTACTTCTCGTATTTCTACCTATCCCACAACTATAGGGAAGGATGATGTTGTTAAGTAAACTATCCCTCTCTTAAAATTTTGGATAGGATTAGTAATTTACATAATCAGATGTAGACATTGTACTCTAAAATATTCTATTAAGTATGTACTTCTACTAGACATTCTTACAAAGCCTTATTCTTTTGACAGGTTGAAATATTTGCTTATTTTTCAGTTTTCAGACATTCATTTTTTTTTCAACTTTATTTTTAAGACTGCTATTTGAAAAGCATCTTAAGCACATAGTTTTTCTAATACCAAAAAGGTGTTTGCTTTTTTGTGTTTTTAAGTGTTATTCCTTTCAAGAGTCAGCTTATAAATAAAGATAAAAATAAAACAGTTAATGCTTAAATAATCTTGACTTTAGTGCTCTTTAATATGGAGTCTGTCTTTCAAAGAAAGGAGCTTTAGAAAGGCCAAAGGTTAAATTGTCTTGAAACTTGTTCTTTCTGGAATGTAAATACAAATATGTAGAAGATAAATATATTCTAAACCTTTGAGGTCTCATTTGGCCATCTTATGCCTTTGACACATAAACAGATAAATGAGATATGGGAAAAAGTTTTACCAGTAATCAGTGAAGTGGAATTCCATATGCTATTTGAAAATGGAGGGGAAGGTTCCAGACTTTACATTTCATTTTTGTAATATAATGTTAATGTAATTTTGTACCTTTTATTTTCTTATCAGAACAATATATGTCATTTTTCTTGAATGTTTTTAAAAAACAAATATATATTTCCTGTTACTCCAAAAAATTACCTTTAAATAAACTGATTTTGTTAATTCTTCATCTAAAAGAATATACAAGATCTAAAAGAATATATAATTGGCCGGGCGCGGTGGCTCAAGCCTGTAATCCCAGCACTTTGGGAGGCCAAGTCGGTTGGATCACGAGGTCAACAGATCGAGACCATCCTGGTTAACATAGTGAAACCCCGTCTCTACTAAAAATACAAAAAATTAGCTGGGCGTGGTGGCACATGCCTGTAATCCAAGCTACTCAGGAGACTGAGGCAGGAGAATTGCCTGAACCCAGGAGGCGGGGGTTGCGGTGAGCCGAGATTGCGCCATTGCACTCCAGTCTGGGTAACAAGAGCGAAACTCCGTCTCAAAAAAAAAAAATTAATACATATATAAAATTGTCAGTGTATGACCAATAACCCTTTCCATTCTGTTCACACATTAACCCTGTGGGTTCTAGACAATATTTGTTTTTTGGTTTTTGTTTGTTTATTTCTTTAGACGGAATTTTGCTCTTGTTGCCCAGGCTGGAGTGTAGTGGAGCAATCTCAGGTTCAAGCAGTTGCCTCCCAGTTTCAACCTCTGCCTCCCAGATTCAAGTGATTTTCCTGCCTTAGCCTCCTGAGTAGCTGGGATTACAAGCATGCGCCAGTATACCCAGCTAATTTTTTGTATTTTTAGTAGAGATGGGGTTTCACCATGTTGGCCAAGCTGGTCTCGAACTCCTGACCTCAAGTGATCCACTCTCCTTGGCCTCCCAAAGTATTGGGATTACAGGCGTAAGCCAATTCACCCAACCAGTGTCTTTGTTTATACATTCACTGTTTCTTTTAAGCTCCCCAGCATTGCTGAAAATGGCATTTATCATTTGCAAACAGGTTAAATATCTCTTACCTGAAATGCTTCGGACCCAAAGTACTTCAGGTTTTGAATTTTTTTGGACTTTGGAATATTTGCATATACATAATGACGTTTTCATGGGAATGGGACCCAAGTCTAAACACAGAATTCATTTATTTTTCATATACACCTATACACATAGCCTGAAGGTAATTTTATATAATATTTTAAATAATTTTGTACAGTAAAGTTTCAAAAAGCAAAGGTGTCACTGTTTCAGCCATCTCTGTAAATAATCTGGCATCACTGGTCATTCCTGACTCTGAATTTATTTTTATTTTTATTGTTTTAAGTTTTAAATTTTTTTTAGATGGAGTTTTGCTCTGTCGCTCAGGCTGGTGTGCAGTGGCACAATCTCGGCTCACTGCAACCTCCACGTCCCAGGTTCAAGCAATTCTCCTGCCTCAGCCTTCCGAGTAGCTGGGATTACAGGTGCCCACTGCCATACCCAGCTAAATTTTTGTATTTTTAGTAGAGATGGGGTTTCACCTGCCACTGAATTTATATGCTACCGATAAGCAATCCTTTTCTTGTACTTTTTCACACATAACAGTGCAATCATGGCTCACTGCAGCCTTGACCTCAGGGGTTTAAATGATCCTCCCATCTCAGCCTCTTAAGTAGCTGAGAATTATATGTGTATGCTACCATGCCCAGCTAATTTTTTTGATTTTTTTGTAGAGACAAGGTCTCACTGTTGTCCAGGCTAGTTCGAACTCCTGGGCTCAAGTAATCCTCCCACTTCAGCCTCCCAAAGTGATGGAATTACAGGTGTGAACCACTGCACCTGGCCCAGGTGTGTACATTTTTGAGCACTGTATTGGCACTCAAAAAGTTTTGGATTTTAGAGCATTTGAGATTTTATTTTTGGCCGGGAGTGGTGGCTCACACGTATAAGCACTTTGGGAGGCCAGTGTGGGTGGATCACAAGGTCAGGAGTTCAAGACCAGCCTGACCAACATGGTGAAATCCTGTCTCTACTAAAAATATAAAAATTGCCCAGGTGTGGTGGCACGTGCCTGTAATCCCAGCTACTCAGGAGGCTGAGGCAGGAGAATTGCTTGAACCCAGGAGGCATAGGTTGCAGTGAGCCAAGATTGTGTCACTGCACTCTGGCCTGGGTGACAGAGTGAGACTTTGTCTCAAAAAAAAAAAAAAATTAGATTTTTGGATTAGGGATGCTCAACCTGTATTTAACAAAGACAGGATACTTTGTATCAATAGCTGAAGGCTAAATGATGCTGTAATAACTCTTAATTTTTAAAAAGGCAACAAAACAAAACTCAGTGGCTTTCAACAACAGAGTTGGTAGAACCATGTGATGGCTCTCAGAGCTTCACTTGGACTTGGCACAGTACTTCAGTTTACATTTGATTATCCAGATCAGTCACATGGCCAAGCCTGATGTCAATAGGGCAAGAATTAGAGCCTTTCCAGATAATTGTATTATTGTAAAAATATTTACTGCCCCTCCTTCAACAAAGACAACTCATAGAACTGGATGATTGCAAGTTGATTTTAGGTAAGAAATAAGTTTGGGTGGTTCTTTCTATAGAATGCTTATGTATATCCACAGCTCAGCCAGCAGGAGTGCCAGAAATCTTAAAGAAAAGCTTGCATAGCTGTTCAGTAAAAGGAGAAGAAGAAGTGTTTTTAATCGGCAAGAACTTTCTGAAAGGAACTAAAGTTATTTTCCAAGAAAATGTTTCTGGTAAGTAGACATATTTGTGGTATAGGCATTTGTATGTTTTCACTTTGTTATGTGGATATAGTCATAGAGAGTAAAAAAAAAAAATAGTTCAAAAATTTAATAAATCACTTTTTTTTTCCAATCAGATGAAAACTCTTGGAAGTCAGAAGCTGAAATTGACATGGAATTATTTCATCAGGTATAATTTAAGCTTTTTTATAATTTGTGTTTACTCTCTGAGCATTTCAGTTTTGTTCTGAAAATTTCTTGAATCAATAGATTAAATTTCTTCTTCGTATGGGAGTGATGTGAATCATTTAAAGTTTCTTTCTTGAGTTTCTTTAACTGAAATAGAATTATTTTCCTAATGCTAAACATGACCACCTCTATTTTAAAAAGTTAGGAGCATTAGCACATGTTTTCATTGCTAATAAACAAAACATTTCTTTCCTAATATTTATTTCTCTGAGGATTTGGATAATCTTATTCCACTATATAGTTAAATAAAAGGGAAACCAATATTTATTGAGAATCTGTTACGTTTCAGCTGCTCTGTGTTTGTTAAACCTTCTTGTGTTTAGAAGCTCTCATCACACTGATATTAAAGAGTCTATAAGACATGTATTGTTTTCCAAGTAACAATAAAAACTTGAAAACAAGGATCAAGACCTGACTTAGGAATTAGTATTTAGAGCAGATAGGACCAAATCCATAGAAATTAAGACTTAACAGAAGGCCAACTTTCTAAGCAAGTTAGAAGGCACATGCAGAAAAGGTAGTATGTACAGGTGTAGATAGGAGAGAGAGAAGAGAGAAATAGGAACAAGCTAATGTGTAAATTACCTAAAGCCTAAAATTTAGTGCAAGAAGCTGTTGGGGATAGAAAAGAGCACATGAAGGAAGGCAGAGAAATAGAAGAGGCAAAAAAAATGGACAATATATAGCCATTTTATCCTAAAAGTTTATAATTTCCTTGTTTTCCTATTTTTAAAAACCTAATAAAATTTAAAACTTGTATCCAGTATATTGCCAAACTCAAAGCTCAGGGCACAACCAAGATTGCTCCCATTTCATACACGAGACACAAGTTCAGAGGTCCCTAGGCCACCACCACCCTCTTTTTAAACAAGTGACTCAAACAGTGGTTTTTTCCACTGTCCCCTTGGATTTGATAACTTCCTGTAACAATTCACAGAACTCTAGAAAGTGCTATACTTAGTGCCTATAGTTTTATAACAAAAGGATAGAGATCAGAATCAGCTAAAAGGAGAGATGGATAAACCAAGGTCTAGGAGTGTCCCAGACACCAACCTTCTATCATTCTCAAGAAGACATTACCATCTTAGCATAGCAATGTGTGGTAACAATTTGCAGAGAATTACCAACCAGGGAAGCTTACCTAAGTCTTTGGTGTCCAGAGTTGTTATTTCAGACCTAATAATATACTGCCCATGCAGCTGACCTTTGGTCTTCACTTCCATGAGGTTGGAATTGATATGGTGTGATCCAAAGCCTCTGCTATAAATCACATTGTTAGACTGTCCAGTGATCAAAGCCTCTGTTATAAATCACATTGTTCATCTGTCTAGTGACCAAAGCTCTCAAGTAAAGATCATTGTCACACAAGACATTGCAGGAACCTAGAGATCAACTCCTAGCAGCCAAAAAGGTAAAGGCCAGAACCCTCTCTGGGTAAATTTAGTTATTTCCTACACAGTATTTATAGTGTGGAGCTTCCTATATACCTAAACAAATGCTATGTGGCAAGTTTTTCTCTAGCCTTATGCTACTACATGTTGTGGAAAAGAGTTAGTGGGACTTAACAAACATTCCTTTTGTCACACAGATCATTGGGCAATATCTCCTAGGGTTCATTGTCAGACTAGTCTTAACTAAAGTTCTTTTTTTTTAAATTTATTTATTTATTTATTTATTTATTTATTTATTTATTTATTTATTTATTTATTTATTTTTGAGACAAAGTCTTGCTCTTTTGCCCAGGCTACAGTACAGTGGTGTGATCTCGGCTCATTGCAACCTCCACCTCCCAGGTTCAAGCGATTCTACTGCCTCAGCCTCCCGAGTAGCTGGGACTACAGGCGTGTGCCACCACATCCAGCTAATTTTTGTATTTTTAGTAGAGCAGGGTTTCACCATGTTGTCCAGGACAGTCTCAATCTCTTGCCCTTGTTGATCTGCCTGCCTTGGCCTCCCAAAGTGCTGGGATTACCACCACCACACCTGGCCAACTAAAGTTCTAATACCTGCTTTGTCATTAGCAATCTGTGTTAACTAAGTAAGACAAGTAACTTTTGTGCCCCAATTTTCTGATCTGTAAGATAAGCTCTTTCATTGGATTATTTGAGGCTCCCTCTCTCTAATATTTTATTATTTCTTATATTTGATCAGACCATCTCCACTCCCATGAACCAACAATAGCTTCCTCTGGAGTACTCCTGGAGGTTAGAGGCAATGTATTATAATTTTTCTGTGTTCCTTGTAATACCAAACACTTAATAGACACACAAGAAAAACTTTTTAGTTCATTTTATTCACTTTGAAGAAAAAGATGGGTGACTCTGGTCTAAGTAAGGTTCATTTGTTCTTTCTGAGATACTTCAAACCCTAATTTCAGCCAGGACCTTAAATACCTAGACTTTTAATCCTAACTGAAACTTAATTTATTCATGCAGTACTTTTGTATGCTATGAACATGTTTTCTTTCTTGACACGTTGGTTAGATTAATGTAGACTCCCTTGCTTGTAATGCTCTATTATAATTGTTATTCTTATAAATAATATAGATGAGGAGACTGTACATAAAGGGACATTCAATCTTTATAATATATACAAATATACATAAAAGGTTAGCTCAGGGGAAGATAGTATAAATGTGAAAATAAAATTCTTGAAAGAAGTACAAAAGACAGATCCTCAGAAGAATTTGTAGGAACAACTAGACTAAACAAAGACTTGAAAGTTTAGAGGTTATGTTTTTCAAATCGGTTCTAATAGTAATTTTGTAATGGGTCTTTGGTCAAGTCAAATTATATATTTATGTATATGTATATTCCAAACTGTAAAATTAATGTGACAAAGAAAAAGTATATCATAGGAGAGTGAAAGATATCTAGCACCATTGCTGACACACTCTGAAAAAGCTTATCTGCTAAGGAAAGTTATTTTGAATCTAAACAAATCTTTCTAAGAAATTAAAATTTGCCAGGCACAGTGGCTCATGCCTGTAATCCCAGAACTTTGGGAGGTGAGGCGGGCTGATCACCTGAGGTTAGGAGTTTGAGACCAGCCTGACCAATATGGAGAAACCCCCTCTTGGAAAAAAAAAGAAAAAAGAAATTAAAATTTAGCTGTTTTCCTCTTTTTATCCCAAAGAGCCTTATACCTGCTCCAAAGGCCTCCTAACCCTTTGTATGTTTTGTATGTATTGTATTCCTAGTTTAGTGATAGTTAATTGACCTAATTTATGAGAAGAGTATTGAAAACAGCTTTGCCAGGCATGGTGGCTCATGCCTGTAATCCCAGCACTTGGGGAGGCTGAGGTGGGCAGATCATGAGGTCAAGAGACTGAGACTGTCCTGGCCATCATGGTGAAACCCTGTGTCTACTAAAAATTTAAAAATTAGCTTGGCAAGAGAATTAAGAGAATCACTTAAACCCAGGAGGCGGAGGCTGCAGTGATCTGAGATCACGCCACTGCACTCCAGCCTGGCAACAGAGTGAGACTCTACCTCAAAAAAAAAAAATAAAAGCTTTTGATCATGAGTCACAGTTTACCTAATTTTTAATTCAGATCAGTTGTAGAATTTCTAGATTCAGATTGAGGAAGTTTGAAGAATTAGCAAAATAGGCTCGTTTGGTTTTTAAAAGGCTTCAAATTAGTTTTACTTAAATATGCTCTCCAAAGCAAGTGGAGTAAAAGTATTTTGATAAAATATGCATCTGATTTTTAGATACTAATCCTGTTACTAATTGGCAAGAAAAAAGTTTTTATTCAAAAGAATAATTTGAATTGTGGAGTTTGCCAAGTAATTTTAAGAGTGGAAGCTCTCACAAGCTGTTCATCCACCGATCTCCTTAACTCTAGGTAGACTGCTTCAACAAGAGTAAAAATGAGGATAGACAAGATTTAGTAACTCTGTTTCTTAGAAATTTGATCAATACCAGTACATTTTTTTATGACCTTGTACGCATTTAGATGTAGCTCCTGCCTCATAATGTGGATGTATACATATTTGTACATGATTTTCCACCTAGTTTAAAAGAATGTGTTTTCTTTTTTTGAGATGGCTAACTTAGGAGGCATTCTGTTAATGCCATAAATTAGAAGCTAGCCAGTTCATTCGTTCGTTCTTTCTGTCTTTCTTCTCTTTCTTTCTTGTCTTTTTTCTTTCTCTTTTTGTCTTTCTTTCTGGCCTGTCTCCCTCCCTCCTTCCCTTGCTTCCTTCCTTCCTCTTTTTTTGTTTTTGTTTTTGTATTTTGAGACAGAGTCTCACTCTGTCTCCCAAGCTGGAGTGCAGTGACACAATCTTGGCTCGCTGCAACCTCCGCCTCCCCGGTACAAGCAATTCTCCTGCCTCAGCCTCCCCAGTAGCTGGGACTACAAGCATGTGCCACCACACCCAGCTAATTTTTTGTATTTTTAGTAGAGACGGGAGGTTTCACCATGTTAGCCAGGATCATCTCAAACTCCTGACCTCATGATCCACCTGCCTCAGCCTCCCAAAGTGCTGGGATTACAAGCCTGAGCCACATGCCTGCCTGCCTGCCTGGCTTGCTTGCTTGCTTCCTTCCTTCCTTCCTTCCCTCCCTTTCTTTTCTTTCTTTCCTCCTTTCCTCCTTTGTTTTTCGCTCTTGTTGCCCAAGCTGGAGTATAGTGGCGCCATCTTGGCTTACTGCAACCTCCACCTGCCGGGCTCAAGCGATTCTCCTGCTTCAGCCTCTGGAGTAGCTGGGATTATAGGTGCATGCCACCATGCCCAGCTAATTTTTTGTATTTTTAGTAAAAACAAGGTTTCACCATGTTAGCCAGGATGGTCTCAAACTCCTGACCTTAAGTAATCCACCCACCTCAGCCTCCCAGAGTGCTGGCATTACAGGCATGAGCCACTGCACCTGGCCTAGTTCTTTATTTATAATGTGACTGTATTTCAGAAAGTGTTTTAAGATGGCTCAGAAACAAATTAAATTCTCAGAAATGGAAACCTTGACCTTAATCTCATTTGTCGCATGTTTTCTGTTCAACTGAGTCAACCAACTATATAGTCTAACTTAATTTAAAATGTCATCAAATTCACATCACCCTCAGCTGTCAGCTTTGGTCTCCTGCAAATCAGATCATTAGTAAAAAAGTGTAATCACTACCCTATAATACCCCTTACCATTATAATCATCTAGGGAAGAAGAAAAAAGTCAAATATGGTTCATATTACTAGCTAAGACGATATAATCCCCATGGGTAAGTACTGGTGAAACATTTATGAATTCTACCTTTCTCTTATAAGGATGCTTCTGTCACTATTCCAACTGAAAACATCTTTGGTTTACTGAGATGTAGATAAACTGAACCCAGTTTGACTTAAAATGAGAATTACGTGGTTAGGAGTAGTGAACTGCATTGTGAAGTACATCTCACACTGAGGTTGTACAGAATATATGGTAACTGACTTTGCCCTTGGTAGGGCAAAAAATATAAGAATGACTTATATTTTTTCTCATAAGTCATTCTTTTATTCAATGAACATAATTGTGTATATTTTATATAAGGTACTATTCTTTACAAGTGAGACAGAGTGAAGAACAAAACAGCCTAGATCCTCATGGAGCTTACATTCTTGTGGTTGGAGAGAAACCAAAAATCAACCAAACAGAGTAATTTCAGGTGATGATAAGTGCGATCATGGAAATAAACAATATTATAAGGCTGGGGAGGGGTACTGCTTTAAATAGGATGATCAGGGAAGGCTTCTCTGAGGTGACATTTGTATCAGACCTGATAATGGGTTAGGAACTCACCATTTGAGGAGGTGAGGGAAAAATATTACAGTTGAAAAGAATAACAATTAGAATCTGAAGTAAAACTGAGTTTAGTATGTTAAAAGAAGACTAAGGTTACTGTGTCTACAGTATAGTGAGCTGGAATAGCGGGAATGACATGAAGTTGACAGGACAGGGATCTTGACCTTGTAAGCCATTATAAAACACTTGGATTTTACCTTAAAAACTGTCTTAAGATTAATATCCTGATGCCTGTGACTCTGAGCTTTAAGATACATTCTTTTAAAAAAAAAAAAAAATCACTTTTTAAGGCCAGGCACGGTGGCTCACGCCTATAATCTCAGCACTTTGGGAGGCTGAGGCGGGTGGATCACCTGAGGTCGGCAGTTCGAGACCAGCCTAACCAATATGGTGAAACCCCGTCTCTATTAAAAAAAAAAAAAAAAAATCACTTTTTAAACTTTATAGCTAACATGAAACATACTTAATTTAATTTTTAAAACTATTTTCCAACTCTTGTACTTTTCTTTATATTAGAATCATCTTATTGTGAAGGTTCCCCCCTATCATGATCAACATATAACTTTGCCTGTATCAGTGGGAATATATGTAGTGACGAATGCTGGAAGATCTCATGATGTTCAACCATTCACTTATACTCCAGACCCAGGTATGTCAAAATGAAAAATTAAGAACTAAGATGAATAATTACTTGCCAGTTTTTTGAAAGAATATGAAGACAACTAACTAGCTATCCAAAAAGAAAGTTGTCGTCCCAGCTACTTGGGAGGCTGAGACAGGAGAATCTCTTGAACCTGGGAGGTAGAGGTTGCAATGAGCCAAGATCACACCTAGGCTGGGTGACAGAGTGAGACTGTCAAAAACAAAAAACAAAAAAGCCCTTGATACTTGTCTCAGAATTAAAGATCATGTGTGAAAACTTTAAAGTTTAGAAATAGTATTCTGGCTTCAACAAAAATAGGAGAAAGAATACTGGCTTATTCTCAAAGACCAAATATTTTATTGTTTCCTTTCTAGGAAGGCTTCAGACATCTAAGGAAATTTGATTTAAAATCAATGGTAAAGCATTTTAGTAACTGTTAGTTACTAAATATTGACATTTGTTGTTTTGCAGGAGCTTGCACAAACATGAGAAGAAAGATGGTGTAATTAATACATAGGATTTGTTTCCTGATGAGCTTCTGCTCCAGTTGTGTTGGAAGGGAAAGAGTTTATGTCAGGGAATAGCCTTAAAGGTTTTGCTATTCTGAAAACACTGAGATTTTGTTCTTTTCACTTGTTTCTTTGTTTTTATTGATTAATTATAGAGACTTCAGGACTTTGAAGTACTTAGCATCAACACTAAGAATCCTTATTTTTTAGTGATAAATGCTAATTATTAGAAATTGCCCTTCAATAAATTGCTGAATAAACAACTTTTAAGTATTCTACTTCAAAGGCTGTACTAATTGCCTAATTTTGGCCACTCTTAGGTAATCATTACCATATGCTTGCTCTTTCAAGTTTGCCCCCAACATACTTTGTATGTTACAGATAACAGTCACTCTTAGAAAATCATGTTTGAATAAATATAAGGTATGCAAACTTTGTAATACAATCTAATGCCTTAGCTTCTGCCTTTATAATTCAGCTAATTAATCTTCCACAATTTTACCTTTTTTTTTTTTTTTTTTTTTTGAGACAGAGTCTCACTTTGTCACCTAGGCTGGAGTGCAGTGGTGCAGCCTCAGCTCACTGCAACTTCCACCTCCCGGGTTCAAGTGATTCTCCTGTCTCAGCCTCCCAAGTAGCTGGGATTACAGGCATCCACCACCATGCCTGGCTAATTTTTGTGTTTTTAGTAGAGACAGGGTTTCACCATATTGGCCAGGCTGGTCTCAAACTCCTGACCTCAAGTGATCCATCCACCTCAGCCTCCTGAAGTATTGGGATTACAGGCATGAACCACAATTTTATTTTTTTGTATTTGATGTAGTGTGACAATATTTTCAAGTGTTCATAAGAGAGAATATGATTTCAGGAAAACTTGGGTACAGAAAAAGGCCTATCTCAGTGTAACAAGCTAATAGCTGTTGTGATTTATTTAGGTACTATTGTTAAATATTTCATTATTCAATAGTGCAGCCAAAACAAGGTCCATCCTGATATATACAGTTTGGAGTAGAAGTGGTAACTGTTAATACTATTTGTTGAAATACTTATAAATAAAACTAACAAATCATTAAGTAGAATTTGACCAAAATACACTCACAACAACATGAGAGGCCAAATTTGAATTTAGAGTTTTCAAACTATTTTGAGTTCTAAGCTGGAATATGGCAGCATAAGGAGAGAGGCATCCCTGCCTGCCACCCTCCTTTTGCCACTTTTTGGCTCCATCCTATACTTCGAGGCCTTTGATTCTTTTTTTTTTTTTTTTTTTGGGGGGGGGAGGAAGGCAGAAAGGAAGGGAATAAGGACGGTAGGGAGGAAGGAAGGGATGAAGGAAGGAAGGAAGGAAGGGAGGAAGCGGGGAGGGAGGGAGGGAGGGAAGGGAAGAAAGGAAATCAAGCAATTGAAAGAGACATTGCCGACCTGGATCTAGAGGTTTACAAGTTGATTTCTTTTTTTTTTTTTTGAGAGAAGGAAAGAAAAAAAAAAATAAGTAAAGGAGAGGAAGAAAGAGGAAGAGAAAGAGGGAAAGTAAATGGAAATATTGCTTTATTTTGAAAAAAATTGGGTATTAATAATGGCCAATCAATGTTTCATTTAAACTAATGGGTAGGTGTGATGTGGTATTGACAAGAATGTATATTTTGTGTATTTGAAGTGGAGAGCTCTATAAATATTTATTAAGTTTACTTGTTCTGGATCTGAGTTTGAGTCCTTGATATCCTTATTAATTTTCTGTCTCATTGAATCTAAGTCTCCTATCTGGGTGTTAGGATCGTTAGCTCTTGTTGTTGCATTGATCCTTTTACCACTATATCTTTGTTGCTTTAAAATCTATTTTATCCAATACGAGAATTGCAACTTCTGCTTTTTATTTATTTATTATTTATTTTTGCTCTCCATTTGGTTGGTAAATCTTTCTCCATCCCTTTGTTTTGAGTCTTTGTGTATCCTTGCATGTGAAACAGGTCTGGATGTAACATGCCGTTGGGTTTTGGCTGTGTCTTTTGATTGGGAATTCAGTCAATTTAAATTTAGGGTTACTGCCATTTGATGTTGACTGGCTGTTTTATCCATTTGTTGGTGTAAATTCTTCTTTATGTTGTTGCTCTTTACTTTTTGGTGTATTTTTAGAAAGGCTAATACTGGTTGTTTCTTTCTGTGTGTAATGCTTCTTTCAGAAGCTCTTGTAAAGCAGGCCTGGTGGTAATAAAATCTCTGAGTTCTTGCTTGTTCATAAAAGATTTTATTTTTCCTTCAGTTGTGAAGCTTAGTTTGGCTGGATATGAAATTCTGGGCTGAAGGTTCTGTTCTTTGAGGATGTTGAATATTGGCCCCCACTCTCTTCTGGCCTGTAGAGTTTCTGCTGAGAGATCTGCTGTAAGTCTGATAGGCTTGCCTTTGTGGGTAATCTGACCTTTCTCTCTGGCTGCCCTTAGTATCCTCTCCTTCGTTTCAGCCCTGGTGAATCTAACGATTACGTGCCTTGGGGTTGCTCTTCTTGAGGAATATCTTTGTGGTGTTCTCTGTATTACCTGGGGTTGAATGTTGACCTGCTTTGCTAGTTGAGGAAAATTTTCCTGAATAATATCCTGAAGGGTATTTTCCATCTTGGATTCATTCTCTCCGTCGCATTCAGGTACACCTATCAAACGTAAATTTGGTCTTTTCACATAGTCCCACATTTCTTGGAGACTTTGCTCATTCCTTTTTATCCTTTTTTCTCTAATCTTTTCTTCACGTTTTATTTCATTAAGTTGGACTTTGACCTCTGATATCCCTTCTTCTGCTTGAACAATTCGAGTGTTTAAACCTGTGCATACTTCTCGGAGTTCCTGTATTGTATTCTTCAGTTCCATTAATTCACTCATACTCCTCTCTAATTTGTCTATTCTCAGTAGGATTTCATCAAACCTTTTTTCAAAGTTCCTAGTTTCTTTATGTTGGGCTACAACATGTTCTTTTAACTCACCGAAGTTTGTTATTATCCATTCCTTGAAGAGTGATTCTGTCATCAGGAGGCGCTCCTTCTCCATCAAGCCTTGTTCCATTGTTGATGTGGAACTGTGATCATCTTTAGAGGGAGAGGCGTTCTGACTTTGAGTATTCTCAGCTTTTTTACTCTGGTTTCTTCCCATCATTGTAAATTTATCCTCCTGTCGTCTTTGAAATTACCAACTTTCAGATTAGGTCTCTTGAGTGGATGTCCAGGTTGTTAGTTCCCAGGGCCAGAGCAGTGGCGTTAAAACTGATGGTGCTTTTCTGCTCAGGATTCTCCTGTCGGGCTTCCTTCTTGTTTCCGTAGTAGGCGACTCTGCCTTCCCGGGGCTCCAAACCTCGGTCAGAAGGGGAACCTGTCCCGTTTACTCTGCGCCGAGCGCTGCCACGTCGAGGTGCCGGCGGAACTGCTGCGCCGACCACGAGAGTCGCGCTGGCGACTCGTGTGTTTCCACCTCTGGGGGATCTTCTGCTCTGTAAGCGACCAGACTTTGTCTGAAAGTGTGGCGTCCTCTAGTCCTCCGCGCCTTCCCTGAGAGCTGCAATCCCGGGATGTTAGCGATCGGCCATCTTGGATCGTTCCGCCTTTGATTCTTAATCAGTGCTTCCACCTAATAGGCCTAAGAGTGCTCACAAAATCTAGGGTAGTTGTACAGAAAATCTGGGCATTCTAGGTGCTTGTTACGTGTTCTAAAAGTAGGGTCAGGGCAGAGGTTCAACTGAATATATCCTGGTTCCATACATTCTTCCTGGTACAGACCTTCTGACACCCAGTGGGGCCATACTGCCCCAAATCAAAATGTGTATGCTCTCAGGCACTTAGGTACTTTGCAGAGGCATAAAATCTTTGTTTTATTCATAGTCTCTGAAGCTTTGCTTGGGCATTAAAACATCTTTAATTTTTTTTGCTTCAGCCTATTCAGACACAGAAATCACACTAGACATTATTTGCTGTAACTCTACAGTGGTGATTTCTATAAGAAATGGGGATATAATATTTAACATCTTTTTCTTTTTTTCTAAAAAGAAAGTACTGGCTGGATGAGGTGGCTCACATCTGTGATCCTGACACTTCAGGAGGCTGAGGCAGGAGGATCACTCGAGCCCAGAGGTTCAAGACTAGCCTGGGCAACATAGTGAAACCCCCATCCCTACAAAGAAAAAATAATAATAAGTTGGACATGGTGGCATGTGCCTGTAGTCCCAGCTCCTCAAGAGACTGAGGTGGGAGGATTGCTTCAGCCTGAGAGGCTGAGGCTGCAGTGATCCATGATTATGTCACTGTATTCCAGCCTGGATAACAGAGCAAGACACTGTCTCAAAAAAAGAATAATAAGAATTTAAAATAACTAATAACTTGATTTAAAAGTAGAAATTTAAATTTTTTCAAGGATTAGTTTATATTTTTAAATCTGTAGTTACTGGAATTAATATCATGCATAAATAATTTATGTGTATTTTTTCATTCAATTGCCTATAAATCATTTGTTAGACCTACTGTGAAACGTACTAACATAAATTACTTCATTCTCAGGAGATGTGTACAAATTTCTCTCTTTATTCATTTAGTGATAACTATTGTTTGACATGTTAGAAAATATAAAATAAACATACTGAAAAATAGAAATTGGCCAGGCGCAGTGACTCACACCAGTAATCCCAGCACTTTGGGAGGCCAAGGCAGGTGGATCACCTGAGGTCGGGAGTTCAAGAACAGCCTGACCAACATGGAGAAACCCCATGTCTACTAAAAATATAAAATTCGCAAGGCATGGTGGCGCATGCCTGTAAGCGCAGCTACTCTGGAGGCTGAGGTAGAAGAATCACTTGAACCCAGGAGGCAGAGGTTGCAGTGAGCCAAGATTACGCCATTGCACTCCAGCCTGGGCAACAAGAGTGAAACTCTGTCTCAAAATCAAAAAAAGGAAAGAAAAAGAAAAATAGAAATTAAGGCCGGGCATGGTGGTTCATGCCTGTAATCCCAGCACTTTGGGAATCTAAGATGGGCAGATTGCTTGAGCTCAGGAGTTTGAACCGGGGCAACATGGCAAAACACCATCTCTACCAAAAATATAAAAATTATCCTGTTCTGGTGGTGTGCACCTGTAGTTCCAGCTACTCAGGAGGCCGAGGTGGGTGGTAACTTGAGCCCGGGAGGTGGAAGTTGCAGTGAGCTGAGACCACACCACTGTACTCCAGCCTGGGTGACAGAGCCCTAGACTCTGTCTCATAAGAAAATAAATTGAAATGTACTCAAATAAAATATGTAATCATTTGAAGCAAGAACCAATTTATTTGTAATTTATTAAACTTTATTGTTTAGAACTGACTTATATTCTTAGGCCCATTAAATTTATAGTTTAAATTTGTTTTAAAAAAAAAATTAGCCTTGCATGGTGTTGTGTACCTGAAATCCCAGCTACTCAAGAGGCTGAGGCAGGAGAATAGCTTGAACCCAGGAGGCAGTGGTTGCAGTGAGCCAAGATCATGCCACTGTACTCCTGGGCAACAGAGCAAGACTGTGTCTCAAAAAATAAAAAAAATTGTTATAGTAGATACAATTGATATGACTAGATATGGTAGCCCAGCAATTCTCCATTAATACTAGCAAAGATATTTTTGTTTGTTTGTTTGTTTTTTCTCTTGTTTTTTTTTTGTTGTTGTTTGTTTAGCAAAGATATTTTTTAAGGTGTTACACAAAGAGTAATTATATTATAAATTCAGTATTTTCATCCCACTTAATTTAGCTTTAGCACATTACTTGACTAATGCTTCTGAATCCATATTTTTAAATAAATCATTTATAGGTGAATTATCTGTTGCTAGCGTTCTAGTATGTTTAATGTTTTAAATATTTGATGTTCTTACATCAGTCTACTCATCTGATATCATCAGCATATATTGTTACAAGAAGGATTTTTTTTTTTTTTTTTTTTAGTTTTTGGTTTTTATTGTTGTTGTTGTTTAGAGATGGAGTTTCGCTCTTGTTGCCCAGGGAGGAATGTGATGGCGGGATCTCAGCTCACTGCAACTTCCACCTCCCGGGTTCAAGTAATTCTCCTGCCTCAGCCTCCCGAGTAGCTGGGGTTATAGGTTTGCGCCACCATGCCTGGCCAATTTTGTATTTTTAGTAGAGACGGGATTTCACTATGTTGGTCAGGCTGGTCTTGAACTTCTGACCTCAAGTGATCATCACCCACCATGAGGTTTGGGCTACCTTTAGGAAGGTGGCCTCCCAAAGTGCTGGATTACACGTGAGCCACTGCATCCAGCCTGGTTTTGTTTTGCTAAGTAATCATATGCTCTGCCCACTTGGAAATTGGAGAATTTAGAGGATAGAAATTTACTTCAGCTAGAACTTTTGCTAAACAAATAATTACATGATACCTTGTGATAAGATATTCTAATTAAAGAATTTTAAGATGTAAGTTTTTTAGGATGAATAAATGTAAATAAATACATTCATCTTTTTTTTTTAATAGCAGCAGCTGGTGCTTTGAATGTAAATGTGAAGAAGGAAATATCTAGTCCAGCAAGACCTTGCTCTTTTGAAGAGGCCATGAAAGGTACCAAATTAATTCTTCTCAAAAATTGTAATTAGATGCTATGTTTTCTCTAATACACCTTACTATTTTATTTTCTTAGGTATTTACAACACTTTGCAGGGCATCTTCTATATTGTAAAATAAATATTTGTTTAACTTTATTAAATGTAGAGACTTGTCTTCCAGTTTGATATTTTTCTTACTGAATATGTTTATATATATATATATATATACGTATATATATATATATATATATTTTTTTTTTTAAAGAATGTTGGAGTAGAGAAGTTTTTTGTTTGTTTGTTTGTTTTAATTCCCCAATATTAAAAGTATATGAGGCCGGGCACAGTGGTTCATGCCTATAATCCCAGCATTTTGGGAGGCAATGCAGATCTATCACTTGAGGTCAGGAGTTTGAGACCTGCCTGGACAACATGGTGAAACCCTGTCTCTGCTAAAAATATAAAAATTAGCCAGGCATGGTGGCAAGTGCCTGTAGTCCCAGCTGCTCGGGAGGCTGAGTCAGGAGAATCTTTTGAATCCAGGAAGCGGAAGTTGCAGTGAGCTAAGATCATGCCATTGCACTCCAGCCTGGGTGACAGAGCAAGACCCTGTCTCAAAAAATATATACACATAAAGTAAGGTCAGGCACGGTGGCTCATACCTATAGTCCCAGCACTTTAAGAGGCCAAGGTAGGAAGATTATTTGGGTCCAGAAATTTGAGACGATAAATATCTGTTGACTAATAATTAAATGCATCATCTATAGTTATTGCTGAACAGATATGGGCAGCACAGTGAGCACCTTGTCTCTACAAAAAAATTAAAACAGGCCAAGTGCTATGGCTCATGCCTTTAACCTCAACACTTTGGGAGGCTGAGGTGGGCAGATCACCTGAGGTCAGGAGTTTGAGACCAGACTGGCCAACATGGCAAAACCCTGTCTCTACTAAAAATACAAAAAAAATTTAGCCCAGTGCGGTGGTGTGTGCCTATAATCCCAGCTACTTGGGAGGCTGAGGCAAGAGAATCACTTGAACCCAGGAGGTGGAGGTTGCAGTGTGCTGAGATTGCACCACTGCACTCCAGCCTGGGCAACAGAGCAGAACTCAGTCTCAAAAAAAAAAAAAATTTAAAACATTATCAGGGCATGGTGGCACACACCTATCATCCTAGCTATTCATGAGACTGAGGTAGGAGGATTGCTTTATCTCAAGAGGTCGAAGTTGCATTGAGCTCTGATCACACCACTGCACTCTAGCGTGGGCTGAGGAACAAGACTCTCAAAAACAAAACAGAAATTTAAAATGTGATTAAGTGAGCAGTATTTTAAGGTCAAACTTTAAGGGTTTGTTTATATACTTTTTCAATAAAAAATTTAAATCAGGCTGGGCACGGTGGCTCATGTGTATAATCCCGGCACTTTGGGAGGCCAAGGCAGGTGGATCACCTGAGGTCAGGAGTTCAAGACCAGCCTGGCCAACGTGGTAAAATCCCATCTCTGCTAAAAATACAGAATTAGCCAGGCATGGTGTTGCATGCCTGTAATTCCAGCTACTCAGGGGGCTGAGGCAGGAGAATCACCAGAACCCAGGAGGCACAGGTTGCAGTGAGCTGAGATCATTCCACTGCACTCCAGCCTGGGCAACAGAGTAAAAAAAAAAAAAATTTAATCATATATGAGGAATAGTATGGTAAACAGAGATGACATGAAAAAAAATACAAGTGTTGGATTGTAATGCATTGACACCAGCTTGATGTTCTTAGGGCAAATTAATTCTTAGAAGGAGAAAAAATCAATCTGATATAAAATGTACTACTAAATTGAAGTTGGCTAGAAGGTTATTATTAAATTAACAAGATGGAACATAACCGACAAAACTTTGGCTAGAAGGTTATTATTAAATTAACAAGATGGAACATAACCGACAAAACTTAATATCTGGCCTGGAGAGATTTTGGACTGTTTTTGGTGGGACTAGACTTAGATAAAATTGGAAGAAGGCTGGACGCAGTGGCTCACGCCTATAATCCCAGCACTTTGGGAGGCCAAGGCAGTGGATCACCTGAGGTCAAGAGTTTGAGACCTACCTGGCTGACATGGCAAAACCCCATCTCTACTAAAAATACAAAAATTACCTGGGCATGGTGGCGTGTGCCTGTAAAAAGCTATTTGGAAGGCTGAAGCAGGAGAATCACTTGAACCCAGGAGGCACAGGTTGAAGTGAGCCGAGATTGCTCCACTGCACACCAGGCTGGATGACAGAGTGAGACTCTGAAAAAAAAAAAAAAAAGATTGGAACATAAATAAAATTAACCTTTGTGACCTTTGTATGTATGGCCAAGGAAAGACTTGTATCTTTGCATGAGCATTAGACTAAATGTCCTTTTACTCTTTGTCTTTACCAATAGACATACTTGTCAGTGGTCAACTGAGGATAAGTAAAAGACTCTTGCTCAACTTACTCTACCTAGTCTTGCTTTCCAGAAAGGGGGAGAAGATAATAAGCATTACTATCTCAATACATTTTAAGAAAAATTGTAGATCTGTTAAGCAGTCAGTAACTGTATAGCTGATATATTTATTTATATGTAATTTCTAATTGAATTATAATCTTGTCCATAGATACTGACATTTTTAGACCAAATATAGTGTTAATAAAAATATAAGCCAGGTGCAGTGGCTAGTGCCGATAATCCCAACTACTCAGGAGACTGAGGTGGGAGGATCACTTGAGCCCAGGAGTTTCAGGCTGCATGTTCTATACTCCAGCCTGGGTAACAGAGTAAGACCCTGTCTAATTGAATGAATGAATGAATGAGTGAATAAATAAACACATAAATATTTTTAAAAGAAAAATACAGACTGTATATTTTTATTTTTATATTATTATTATCTTTTGAGACAGAGTCTTGTTCTGTCACCAAGGCTGGAGTGCAGTGGCACAGACTCGGCTCACCGCAACTTCCACCTCCTGGGTTCAAGCGATTCTACTGCCTCAGCCTCTCAAGTAGCTGGGATTACAGGTGTTTGCCACCACACCTGGCTAATTTTTTTTTTTGTATTTTTAGTAGAGATGGGGTTTGCCGTGTTTGCCAGGCTGGTGTCAAACTCCTGACCTCAAGTGATTTGCCTGCCTCAGCCTCTCAGAGTGCTGGGATTATGGGTGTGAGCCACCACACCCAGCCCATATTTTTATTTTTATAGGATTAATCAAATAACCTACAACAAACTAAATTGATAGTGATAAAGCTAAAAGTAAGACCATTTTCTTCATTTAGCAAACATTTGTTGATTACCTGCCGTGCAGCAGGCGATTAACAACAATATCTCTTCCTTCACAGAGCTCAAAATCTAATGGAATTCAAAAGCAAGAATAGTAGTTGAATATTATGGGATCAACTTAAGATCACGCTAATAGTTTTTCAAAGTGTCCTATGGGATATTCTTAGGTTACTTTTAGATGCCTGCCCTGTGCATGATCTGATGTTTTGTCTCAGTTAAAATTAGGTTGTAGGCTGAGTGTGGTGGCTCATACCTATAATCTCAGTACTTTGGGAGACCTAGAGGTAGGGATCGCTTGAGTACAGGAGTTTGAGACCAGCCTAGGCAACATAATTAGACTTTTGTCTCTACAAAAAATAAAAAAATTAGCCAGGCAGGGTGGTACGTGCCTGTAGTCCCAGCTACTTAGGGGGCTGAGGTGGGAGGATTGCTTGAGCCCAGGAGGTGGAGGTTGCAGTGAGGCCTGATTGCACTACTGCACTCCCACCAACAGAGACCCTGTCTCAAAATAAAATAAAAATCTGGTTGTTAGGAGAATTGTATTGGTATTAGAATTTAGGTGAAAATAGGTCCAAAGAACTCATGAATAAGTGATTCATTTCTCAAAAACTACTTAGGTAGAATAATAAAATATGGAATGTCAAAAGTTAAATGAGCACTTTCCCCTCTGTCAAAATAATCAGTTTTCATAGGAATTATGTTTTTAGCCAAATGGCTGTGAGGCAAGTTGAAGTAAGACAAGAAAAATGCCAGTATTTTTAGATGAAAATATTTACTTTCAGCAGGTTTTTTTTTTTTTTGAGACAGAATAGTGCTCTGTTGCCCAGCCTGCAGTACAGTAGAGAAATCTCGGCTCACTGCAACCTCCGCCTCCTGGGTTCAAGCGATTCTTGTGCCTCAGTCTCCCAAGTGGCTGGGATTACAGGCATGTACCACCATGCCCTGCTAATTTTTTGTATTTTTAGTAGAGACAAAGTCACCATTTCAGCCGGGCTGGTCTCAAACTCCTGGCCTCAAGTAATCCACCTGCCTTGGCCTGCCAAAGTGCTTGGATTACTGGCATAAGCCACAACACTTGGCCTTTCAGCAGAATATTGACTAACAACAACAAAAATTTATGAAGGGAGCTATCCAACTCATGTACCATGTGCCATTTAAAAACTTTTCTTTATAGCCAGGATTTCTTCTCGATATCAGATTAAGACATTTAACAGCTGTGCTTTCTGAAGACTCTTTCCATAGAGCCACAGAGTAGTAGTAAACTTTTAAATCAGGATTTGGCTATGTGCTCAACTCAGAGGACTGTCATTAGCAATAGCAGTAGGCATCACTGAATGCTACTATGGATTCAGGTAGACAAAAACGAAGAAAGAAAAGCAATCAAGGGGAAAAGTAGATGTCGAGAAGTGGTAGAATCTTGCTATATGTTGCCTCTAGGTATAAATCTATAACTGGGTGGATGTGGTGGCTCAGGCCTGTATCTCAACACTTTGGGAGGCCAAGGCAGGCAGATCACCTGAGGTCAGGAGTTCGAGACCAACCTGACCAACATGGAGAAACCCCATCTCTACAAAAATACAAAATTAGCAATACTCAGGAGGCTGAGGCAGGGGAATCCCTTGAACCTGGGAGATGGAGGTTGCAGTGAGCCAAGATCGTGCCATTGCTCTCCTGCCTGGGCAACAAGAATGACATTCCATCTCAAAAAAAAAAGACATTTAAATTATTACTAATATTCAACAAATTTTAGAGTGCAATAGTTGGCAATTTTTGTGGTTTTTAAACTTTTTTTGTGTGTGTGTTTGTATGCAGCAATGAAGACTACTGGATGTAATTTAGATAAGGTAAATATTATTCCTAATGCCCTGATCACTCCACTCATACCAAGCAGTATGATTAAGAGTGAAGATGTTACTCCAATGGAAGTAACAGCAGAAAAAAGATCTTCCAGTATTTTTAAGGTAAGCTGTATTGACTAGTGCCCCAACTTGTAACCTCCCGTATAAAAATTGCTTTTACTTTATCTATTTTTTTCAAATTGTTTTTGCTTTGGATGCACTTAATGAATTTTGCTCTAAAGAGGGAATGCTATACTTAAGCAAAATTGCCCACAAAGTGACTTCCAATATGCATTTTGACGAGGGAAGAATTAATATGTTATGTGAGATATTAATGAAAATACTAATTTTAGCATTTTCAGAATTAGAGATGTTTTTATTTTTTTCCCAGCCTTTTCTCATAACTCCCTATTTTTTTTTTATACTTGTCTTCTCCCTTGTAATGTTACTGGTGAGCTGCAAATTTGAGATATTTTCATACCTGCTCTTCATGAACCATAAAATTAATGTGTTCTGATTACCCTTAATTCACCTAAGCATATGAGTAGCTGATTATTCTACTTCCTTGTTTGACTATCTTTGCTTATAGTACTTTAAAAAAATACATCCCAAGGACAATGAGACATCATGTTATGGAGAATCATAGTCCCACAGCTGTTTTCTAAAATAATAATATAGAGTGGAAAACTGATCCTGCATATATTTTTAGAACAGTAGTGATTTTTGATGTATGTTACAAACTTATTTAATGTTTACATTTTCATATTATTTGGGAATTTTTATTTTTTAGACTTCAAACACAGTTGGATCAACTCCGCAAACATTAGAAAACATCTCAAACATAGCAGGAAATGGCTCTTTTTCATCACCATCATCTTCTCACCTGCCTTCAGAAAATGAAAAACAGCAGCAGATTCAGCCCAAAGCTTACAACCCAGAGACCCTGACAACTATTCAAACCCAGGACATCTCACAGCCTGGTACTTTTCCAGCAGTTTCTGCTTCTAGTCAGCTGCCCAACAGTGATGCTCTATTGCAGCAGGCTACACAGTTTCAGACAAGAGAAACTCAGTCTAGAGAGGTATTACAATCAGATGGCACAGTGGTTAATTTGTCACAACTGACTGAGGCGTCACAACAGCAGCAGCAGTCCCCACTACAAGAACAAGCACAGACTTTACAGCAGCAGATTTCATCAAATATTTTTCCATCACCAAATAGTGTGAGTCAGCTTCAGAATACTATTCAGCAGTTGCAAGCAGGGAGTTTTACAGGCAGCACTGCTAGTGGCAGCAGTGGAAGTGTTGACTTGGTCCAGCAAGTTTTAGAGGCACAGCAACAGTTATCTTCAGTTTTATTTTCTGCTCCAGATGGTAATGAGAATGTTCAAGAGCAGCTTAGTGCAGATATTTTTCAACAAGTCAGTCAAATTCAAAGTGGTGTAAGCCCTGGAATGTTTTCCTCAACAGAGCCAACAGTCCATACCAGACCAGATAATTTATTACCTGGAAGAGCTGAAAGTGTCCATCCACAGTCTGAAAACACGTTATCTAATCAACAGCAGCAGCAGCAGCAACAGCAAGTGATGGAATCTTCAGCCGCAATGGTGATGGAGATGCAACAGAGTATCTGCCAGGCAGCTGCCCAGATTCAGTCAGAGTTATTCCCTTCAACTGCCTCAGCAAATGGAAACCTTCAGCAATCACCAGTTTACCAGCAGACTTCTCACATGATGAGTGCATTGTCTACCAGTGAGGATATGCAAATGCAGTGTGAATTGTTTTCTTCTCCTCCTGCAGTTTCTGGAAATGAAACTTCTACAACCACCACACAGCAGGTTGCAACCCCTGGCACTACCATGTTTCAGACACCAAATTCAGGAGATGGAGAAGAAACTGGAACACAAGCAAAACAGATTCAGAACAGTGTCTTTCAGACGATGGTCCAAATGCAACATAGTGGGGACAGTCAACCTCAAGTTAACCTTTTTTCGTCCACAAAAAGTATGATGAATGTTCAGAATAGTGGTACGCAGCAACAAGGTAATGGTTTATTCCAGCAAGGGAATGAGATGATGTCACTTCAATCTGGAAATTTTTTGCAGCAGTCTTCTCATTCACAGGCCCAGCTTTTTCATCCTCAAAATACTATTGCTGATGCTCAGAACCTTTCCCAGGAAACTCAAGGTTCTATTTTTCATAGTCCAAATCCTATTGTCCACAGTCAGACTTCTACAACCTCCTCTGAACAAATGCAGCCTCCAATGTTTCATTCTCAAAATACCATTGCTGTGTTACAGGGCTCTTCAGTTCCTCAAGACCAGCAGTCAGCCAACATATTTCTTTCCCAGAGTTCCATGAGTAATCTTCAGACTAACACAGTAGCCCAAGAGGAACAGATTTCATTTTTTGCAGCACCAAACTCAATTTCTCCACTTCAGTCAACATCAAATACTGAACAGCAAGCTGCTTTCCAACAGCAAGCTCCAATATCACACATCCAGACTCCTATGCTTTCCCAAGAACAGGCACAGTCCTCCCAGCAGGGTTTATTTCAGCCTCAAGTGTCCCTGGGCTCCCTTCCACCTAATCCAATGCCTCAAAGCCAACAAGGAACCATGTTCCAGTCACAGCACTCAATAGTTGCCATGCAGAGTAACTCTCCATCCCAGGAGCAGCAGCAGCAGCAGCAGCAACAACAACAGCAGCAGCAGCAACAACAACAGAGCATTTTATTCAGTAATCAGAATACCATGGCTACAATGGCATCTCAAAAGCAACCACCACCAAACATGATATTCAACCCAAATCAAAATCCCATGGCTACTCAGGAGCAACAGAACCAGTCAATTTTTCACCAACAAAGTAATATGGCCCCAATGAATCAAGAACAGCAGCCCATGCAATTTCAGAGTCAGTCCACAGTTTCCTCACTTCAGAACCCAGGTCCTACCCAATCTGAATCATCACAGACCCCCTTGTTCCATAGCTCTCCTCAGATTCAGTTGGTACAAGGGTCACCTAGTTCTCAAGAGCAGCAAGTAACACTCTTCTTATCTCCAGCATCCATGTCTGCCTTGCAGACCAGTATAAATCAACAAGATATGCAACAGTCTCCTCTTTATTCCCCTCAGAACAACATACCTGGAATTCAAGGAGCCACATCTTCGCCTCAACCACAGGCTGCTTTATTTCACAACACAGCAGGAGGCACAATGAACCAACTACAGAATTCTCCTGGCTCATCTCAGCAGACATCAGGAATGTTCTTATTTGGCATTCAAAATAGTAAGAAACTCTTAATTTCTCATTACTAAATTGGTCATTGTTACTATTAGAAGGAAATAAAGTACAGGCTCACTGCAACCTCTGTCTCCCAGGTTCAAGTGATTCTCCTGCCCCAGCCCCCTGAGCAGCTGGGATTACAGGTGTGAGCCACCCCACCCAGCCTGTACAGTTGTTTTAAGAGTACAGATTGTAGTTAGAACTCTATCACCTGTAGACTATAAGATCTTGTACAAGTTATTTGACTTTTATGGGATTCAACTGTCACATCTAAAATGGTGATAATATTACATACTTTACATGAATTTGGGGAGGATTAAATATGGCAATGTACAAAAATATGTGTTTGCCATTTTAAGCTATAAACATAAAAGGAAAATGAAGTTAGAATGACAGATAATGTCTTAGCCATTTGAACTAAGTAGTTTCTAAGGAGCTAGAAACCCATTTTTAATATTTATATACAAAGGAATTTATATATGATTTTTTATATTTAAGCAGAATTGTATTTTTAGACTGCTTAAAGGAAACCTAGGATGAATTCCAGTACCAATCTATGAAAACCTTTTTCTTGGACTATCAGGTGCCTAACTTTTAGTAATGTACAAGGAGAATGCAGTAATGAATTTTCCCCAACAACTAATAAATATCTTTTCATGAATCTTTACTAATCAGATAGCTTCTATTTTCAATATCTCTGCAGACTGTAGTCAGCTTTTAACCTCTGGACCAGCTACATTGCCTGATCAGTTGATGGCCATAAGTCAGCCAGGCCAACCACAAAATGAGGGCCAGCCACCTGTGACAACACTTCTTTCTCAGCAAATGCCAGAGAATTCTCCACTGGCATCGTCTATAAACACCAACCAGAACATTGAAAAGATTGATTTGCTTGTTTCGTTGCAAAACCAAGGGAACAACTTGACTGGCTCCTTTTAACTGGATGTGTAAGTATTGTATTTTGGCTTCTTATTGAAAAGTATCAAATTTTATTCTTAACAGATTTAAGTTAAGTAATAATAGTTTAGTTCTGGCCAGGCTCAGTGGTGCACACCTGCAAGCCCAGCACTTTGGGAGGCAAAGGTGGGCAGATAACGAGGTCAAGAGATCAAGACCATTCTGGCCAACATGGTGAAACGCCATCTCTATTAAAAATACAAAACTGTGGGGGAACTAGAGGAGGGACAATCAGGAGTAGGGAGTTGGGGAGGGATAACATGGGGAGAAATGCCAGATATAGATGATGGGGATGGAGGCAGCAAACCACATTGCCATGTATGTACCTATGTAACAATCCTGCATGTTCTTTACATGTACTCCAGAACCTAAAATGCAATTTAAAAAAAAAGTATGTATATATAAATACAGAAATTAGCTAGGCGTGGTGGCACGTGCCTGTAGTCCCAGCTACTTGGGAGGCTGAGGCAGGAGAATCGCTTAAACCTGTGAGGTGGAAGTTGCAGTGAGCCGAGATCGCACCACTACACCTCCTGGGTGACAGAGTGAGACTCTGTCTCAAAAAAAAAAAAATTCTGAATGATAGCTTATGATCATATTGTTAATACAGAGCAAGCATCCCTAGTCCAAAAATCCAAAATCCAAAATGCTCTGAAGTCCAAATCTTTTTGAGCACTGACATGACATCTCAAGTGGAAAATTCCACACCTGACCTCATATGACAGGGTTATAGTCAAAATGCAGGCTCACGACATGCAATTTATTCAGTGTCCCCAAGTAGAAAAAAGATTCTCCCAGCCCCCTTCAGCTGTGATAGATCTTTTTAGGTGTATATGAAACAGAAGTGAATTTCATATTTGGACTTGTGTCTTATCCCCAAGAAAACTCATTGTGTATACGTACATATTCCAAAATCCAAAAAAGTCAGAAACACTTGTGATCCCAAGCATTTTAGGTAAGGAATATTCAACCTATATTGGACATTCCTTCTGCCTCTGAGCTTCTTTGCCTTGGAATGACAAAACATCTGATGAGTATGGAAACTGTGCTTCCTTTGTACTATATATTGGATATAATCATGCCTCATTTATCCCTTCCTCCAGAAATAAATATTGAGTCAGGAAGGTCTGTGGGGCTGGGCATGGTGGCTCACGCCTATAATCCCAGCACTTTGGGAGGCCGTGGCAGGCAGATTCCAAGGTCAGGAGTTTGAGACCAGCCTGGCCAATATGGTGAAACTCCATCTTTGTACTAAAAATACAAAAAGTTAGCCAGGCATGGTAACAGTAGCACCTGTAGTCCCAGCTACTCAGGAGGCTGAGGCAGGAGAATTGCTTGAACCCAGAAGGTGGAGGTTGCAGTGAGCTGATATCGCACCATTGCACTCCAACGTGGACGACAGCAAGACTCTGTCTCAAAAAAAAAAAAAACAGGGCCGGGAGGGGTGGCTCACGCCTGTAATCCCAGCACTTTGGGAGGCCGAGGCGGACGGATCACGAGGTCAGGAGATCAAGACCAAACTGGCCAACACAGTGAAACCCCATCTCTGCTAAAATATAAAAAAATTAGCTGGGCGTGGTGGCACGCGTCTGTAGTCCCAGCTGCTTGGGAGGCTGAGGCAGGAGAATTGCTTGAACCTGGGAGGCGAGGTTGCAGTGAGCGGAGATCACGCCACTGCACTCCAGCCCGGCGCCTGGCGACAGAACGAGACTCTGTCTCAAAAAAAAAGTTTTACTTATAGTACCATAATATACTTTTGGATCATTCAGGGTGTCAGAAACTTTATAAATGCTTCCCTCCCTAGTAAGTTACATTAAACTTTTTCTCTTTTTTAGAAATTCCATGAAGAAAATCCTGATTCCAAGATATCCTGAGATCTTGTGGTTTCATGAGAATGATTGAACTGTTAACTTTAAAAACAAAACAAGATATGAAAAAATGTATTTGAGTAAATTGATAGATTTTACTCTGACTGCAAAAGAGCACACCTATGCTGCTTGTTGCAGTGATGAACCACCAATGTTAACATCTTCATATTTTATATTCCTAATAACAGTGATGACTGAGAATCTGTTTGAGTTTCCAGCTGGCAGAATTAATTGTTACTATTTTCCTAGGCGTAATTTCCTTAAAAGTACAGTTTAAATTCAAGGCTGGACCACTCAGTTATTATTGCTATTAGAAAATGATATGTCATGTTTACTTTTGTTCTTCATTATTTTCTTTCCTGTGTTGTTTTAGTCAAGTAATGGCTTTTGAAAAAGTAAAGTTCAATAATAACTAAGGCATATTTTTTATAAAAGGCACAGCTGTTGGCCACAGTGAAGGAATCTTTTTTTCAGTTTCTATGGAGAAACTGAAGGGATAACATTCTAACAAGTAAACTGTATATACAGATAAAAGGACTCTTGATTTAACACAAAGGCATATGATGCACTTATAAAACTGGAAACAGCTGGAATGCTATTTTATTTTTCAGAGAGTTGTTCTCTGGGTTTCTACTAAAGGGGTTTAGCCATAACTGTGCATAGAAAAATAATTATCTTTACTAAAAGAATGAAGGGGATAATATATGATAAATTATGTTCTGATATCCTCCTACAGTAGTTTAAACTGACAGAAAAATTTGAGTGTTTTCTTCTTAACCCAGTATTAGGCTGGTTTTCCCTTTTTATATACATCTATATTACTTTTCACTTCTTTTTCTCTTTACTTTAGAGAACTATTAATGTACTACTGGCTTCATGACCCTGTAGCATCTTTGGCCACTTTAATCTAGGGTGACCTAGCATTCCTGCAGCACAGGGCAGAGAGTATTCTCTTAGGAATTATTGGGAGTTGATTCCTGAGAAACAACACATTTTTTCCCCATGGACGGTGCTGTTCTGAAGTCTTCAAATTTTTCCCTCTAATAGGAAACAGTATAAATTTCAATTTAAAAAAAAAAAAAGGCAAACTAAAATTTCTTGAAACATCACTTCTCCCCGATCTGCAGTGAGTATAAATTCACTTGTCACCTCAGTGCTTTACAGTTTGAAGTGGTCACTTACCTGATGGTTCCCAAAAGCCTTAGGCTTTACAGGGTCATATCATTGACTTAAAATGAAGAATTAACTTGTGTTACATCTATAAAGAGCAAAATAACACTCCAGAACTTGGCAGTTGTAGCATTAGTTATACAGTTTTGGGTGTTCTTGCCACCCGTGGGATGCCTGCTTCTCACTACCACCTGTGTCTGGACACATGCTTATGTCTCATTTTCCTTTTGGCATGTGGAAAGCTGTCAATGCAGTGTAAGGCCAACGTGTGTGTGGCTTCTATGTGTTTATATAATGTTTTGGTATCCTCGTTCGTTTCATTTATTTTTTAAGTGTACAAAAAATGGCCTGTTAATTGTTGAAGGCTACTTTTCTGTTTTTGTTTTCTATCCTGTACATTTAGTTGAAATGTGTGGAATTGTGGTGTTGGTTTTGTTTATACAGCCAGATTTTTCCTTTTTTGTGTGTGTGATGATCTTCCTTTGTTCTTTGAATGTGCCCTTTTAAGTGGTCTTTTTCTCTTTATTCACATGTTTTCTTCCCTCCACCTCCACCCCTTTCTTTCTTTCTCTCTCTGATTGAGAGGCATTGAATTACGTTTTCAGTAGTACAGGCTTCTTGCCAATATGAAGGGAACTTTTCAGAAAGAGACCTACTCTGGGTCATTTAATTTTGAATACAGTTTTCAATCGTTCAAGTTTTGGATGGTTTATATCTAATGTGTGTTTCATTTTTTTGGAAAGCTATATTTTGTATTTAGGAAATGGTATACTATTTTGCTATTTGTACTGAGTGAGTACATTGGCATAAATATAGAAATTTATATATATACATATATATAAACTATTCTTTTTTGCCACACATTTTTGTGGTAAATTTGTGAGTTTGTCTGATGTTCTACCACAACGTGGCGTCTGATAACAGTGAGGGGAGGGGGGGTTTGTTATGTCTTTATTGAGTATTTAAGTATCTTTTGAAACAAATGACCTGTTCATCTGTGGCCATTCCATCAGGCAGTTCCTTGATGTTAATAGTGGGCTAAAGGCAGCTTACTGTGTGTTTGCTGGAGCTTTCACTCAGCCAAGTGTTAGAGTAAGGAAACGCATTGAGGCAATGGCTTCAAATGGTGTTTCACAAGAATGAGCCATTCAGTCTTTGCTCACTATATATTTAATATTTTATTATTGTTATTGTTATTATTAATTGGCTTTCTGTATTCTATGCCTTTTATTTATAAAGACACTAAGAAAACCCATGTTTGTAATTTTAATAACATTTTTCCCCATCTTGTAATATCCCAAGCTACTTTATAAATTCTCTGAACCAAAAGTATTTTCCTCAGTGTATCTCTTCTCCCCCAGCCCTTTTGGGAAAAATTACCCAGTATAGTTCAGGTTATGAGGAGGATCAGCCACACAATCCAGTGCTTCACTTTGAAAATGTAAAACTCTAACCCTAAAGTAGGGTCGATTGAAATGTCAGACAAAGCAAACCCAGCAAGTATAAAAAGAAGTAGTAGAAATAAAAATCTGTAAGTTTATTTTTGAATTTTCTGAACTTTTTTCTAGGAGATTATGTAGAGACTAAAGGAATCTGTTTACCAAATTCTAATTAGGATGATTGTTAATATCGCACTGTAGATGAAGTAGTGGCAAGACTGGCTTGTGTGCTGACTTCTTTTCTGTGGTTTAGCAAGAGGTTTATTGTTATAAAATGCTGATTGGCAATGCCAAGTCACTGGGACCAATTTTCTGTTTTATAATACCTAAGTTTAGAACAGAATATATACCTGAACTGTAGTGGTTTGATTGGATGGAGGCAGAAAATCTTATTTTTATTCTCATAAATTTTGTGATTATTTATACAAGGGCTGTGCTATGCTACCATATTCTTGTTAAATAATAATAGGTTTTTTGTGTTTTTACATTGTTAAATGTTCCTTACCCCTAAAGGTCAATGTTAAGTACAACATTCTGAAAATACAATTTGGTTACAAAGAGTATTCATCTTCTTTGAAGCTCAGTGGTTGATACTTGTGCTAATAATGCAATTTCCTTATTACTGTTACAAATTATAGCTACATATAGGAGAGACTCAGTGAGCCAGCAAAGGCCATAGAAACAACAATTTATTAAATGTATTTATGGCAGAAGGACCTAAATAAACTGTGAGCCACCTTTTCTTTGTATTGTTACATTCAATTGTCGTTGATTTCAGCAACTCACATTAATGCTTGGAGCTTATCTCTCTCTCTCTCTCTCTCTCTCTCTCTCTCTCTCTCTCTCTCTCTCTCCCCCCCTCCCCTCCACCCCGTGTGTGTGTGTGTGTGTGTGTGTGTGTGTGTGTGTGTGTGTGATTCCTTATTGTCATGATTCCATTATATATCCACACCAACATGGGTGACGATAATGCCAAGTCATAATTTGCCTCTGAGCTTGATCATGTTACCTTTATAATTAGAGTATCATGTTATTTAGCCATTGCAAATCTGTTTTAAAACAACTCATTTTAAAAAAAGAAGAAGTTTTTAAGGGCTTTATTATAGAAGAAGTATTAATGAAGGACTTTCCTTCCTCCCTTCTTTCCTTCCTTCCTTTCCTCCCTCCTTTCTTTCCTTCCTTCCTTTCCTCCCTCTCTCCCTTTTCCCCTTCCTCCTTGCCTTCTTCGTTTCTTCCCTTATTCCTTTCTCCCTCTTTTCTCCCTCTCTTCCATCCATCCTTCCTTGCTTTTTTTTTTTTTTTTTTTAGTAATATCACATGTGCTATAGTTTGGAATTTTATTCTAGTGCATTTCTTGCCCATCAGAACCTCAGCTAATCTACATAGGAAAAATAGTGTCAAAGGAAATGAATTTGTATCTGAGTCCCTCCAGAACTAAGATAATTCTTTTTGACCATTTAAGCCTTTATAAATGCTTGTTTTAGGAAATTGAATCTGTTAGATGCATCAACAAAATAATGACTAGATAAAATGATTTAATAATTAAAGTCTCAAATTCACCATGGTTATACATTTTCACCAGAAATAGTAATTTTTATAATTTTTCATTTTTCTCATGAAGATTTTTATTCCAGTATCTGTTTCCTAATTGATTTTTAAAATTAATTAGCTTTCCCCTGCTTTATGACCATAGGCTTTATCCCTAACCAAGACAACTGTCTTATATCTGCATGCCCTAGGCTCTATGGAGGGACTCCATGAAGAAAGACCATAGGTTAGAAAAATAACTCAGAGAATATACCCTAGCAAGTGGGTTAGTAGAATCTCATAACATGTATTAAAAAGAGGTTTTCTCCTCTGCCTGTTTGTGTCACTAGAGCAAAATTGTAGAGATAATGTTCATAATATAGTAACTATCAGAATAATATCTACAGTATCATTTGTGGATGATCCCAGTGCTCTAGTTACCTTTTTTTTTTTTTTTTTTTTTGGTGAGACAAAGTCTTGCTTTGTTGCTCAGACTGGAGTGCAGTGGTATGATCTCAGCTCACTGCAACTTCCACCTCCTGGGTTCAAGCGATTCTCCTGCCTCAGCCTTTCGAGAGGCCAGGATTACAGGTACTCACCACTACACACTACACCTAGCTAATCTTTTTTTGTATTTTTAGTAGAGACAGGATTTCACCATGTTGGCCAGGCTGGTTTTGAACTCCTGACCTCCAGTGATCCACCCACCTCAGCCTTCCAAAGTGCTAGGATTACAGGCATGAGCCACCACACCTGGCCTAATTACTTCTTTAATCCCCATTTATTTTTATGCCATTCTAGCCTAATTTATTAATAGAATTCTGTTTTTTACTCTTTCAAAAAATTTTTTAAATTAATATTTTATATCTAGATTCAATGCTATGGAAAAGTGCCTTTTTATCATTTATAATTTCATTTTTCACTATTTCCAAAAACACATAAACAGAGAGTTTCAACAGATCCCAGCTTTCACTTTTTCAATTTAAACCTTCTTTTCTCCATTTCTTCCCTTTGGCTTAAGAATAACAGAAAAGGTATATTGCTAGAATTGTTTCTTTCAGAGACGGCAAAAGATTACAGAATTAGACTGTTCAGGCTTTATGTAAATAAAATTTGTCTTCATTTTAACCAGCTAAAGGTAGGTCTTAAATGAATGCTGATTAGAATTTTAGCATCTGTGAAACTCCATGTGCACAGATGTGTGTAAATTTCAGAGAGAAAGTGTTTAAAGCATTTTCTCTGATGTTAATTAGATGGAGATAAATCACTAAAACATAGTTTAGGTAAAGCCTAACTATGTCACTTTTTTTTTTTTGACTAGACAAGGCAAAGTTGTTTATTTTAATATACTTCTTGTCTACCGTCAGTTAATTCACCTAGAAAAAAAGGGTGAAAGGAAATGAGAAAGGAGTCCCTCCAGACTTAAGGTAATTCCTTTTGATCAGATACAGTTGGACAGAGGGCCCTGGTTTTTGTTAATTTTGCCTCTATTCCAGCTCATTACCACAGTGGTGGTGCTTGAAGAAAGTGCCATCAGCAACAGGTCAGGATAGTAGTACCTTTGGATAGGGCTGCTTTCCCCATGCTAGTATTTCTGTGACCGTTAGTGGCACTGAAGACTGCAAACTCTTATGCAATATTCTTAATACCCTATTGATATTATGCACTTCAATCATTCCAAAGAAGCCAAGAATGCTGTATAGTGATGATTCCTTCCTAATGAATACATCTTAACTATTTAGAATATTATGTCCCTTTTCTTTTGAATAGCCAACTTGGTATAAATGTTTATGGATTTTTCTAAAATGACTGTATAGGACCTAAGACTTTGAAATGTAATTTACTATAAGGTGAAATGATTACGCTTTAGCAAATCATTTTAGAAACATCACATTTTAGAAACATTCAGCTTGCTAACCTACATGTTTGGGAATTCATTCAAACCAGCTGTTTTTCTATATATTTTGTGTCATGTATATAAGAACATTTCAATATATCATTTTCTATGTACATAGTATGTGCAAACCTGTGGTTCTCAGAGTATGGTTCTCAGCCCACCAGCTAGTATCAGTATCACCTGGGAACTAGTTAGAAATGTAAATTCTTGGGCCCCATCCCAGACATACTGAGTCAGAAACTTTGGAATAGGGCCCAGCAATCTGTTTTCACAAGCCCTCCAGGTGATTCTGATGCACACTTTAAAGTTTAAGAACCACTGGTCTAAGGCTATATTGAGATCTAGAGAGTTTTTCTTCAACTCAGACTGATACACATTGTTCTTCATGTAAATTTAGCTTAACGTGGTTATCTATAATCTTTTATTGGCAAAGATAATTTATTCTCAGTACTGCCTCTAGAGAGATCCGGTATATTTTATGTACATACACAGCCTAATTCTTGATAATTCTGTTAACTTAGTTTGGAATTTTTCTACCACTTACTAAAAAGTTTACATGAAATGGTTAATTTAAATATATAGGTGCAATGTTCTATATTTATTTTCATTGTTATGTCATTTAAGTAGCTAATAAAATTGACCGGTGCTAAAGACCTGTTTATCCATAAAATGGGTACCTTGTGGGCGGTGTAATACAAGCATTCTTTCCATTGCCTCGTACTTTACCAGCAGACCACAGTTTTGCTCTGGGTAGACCGTCCCTCAGAACAAAACCATCATTCCTTGTATTTATATTTGTATCTGAGATAGTCAACAAGATGGCTGGCCAGGTCAACATAGCACCTTAACTTATTTTTTTAATAGGTAGAACTTCTTCAAAAGTAGTTTGTTCTGTATAAGACCTAAGCTATCAGTGGAGATATAGCTATCCTTGGAGCTTATGCTTCAGACAAGAATTATTAACTAAAATAACAAGATAATGTGTTACATAATTTGGGCATTTCTCCTTTCTCAAGTGTATGCAATCATGGTAGATATAAACTAACCACAACATAGGTAGATCGACTGATTTCATTTTAATTTCCTGTGTAAATTCAGTACCTCTGTAATTGTTCTAATCTTCTTCCCACTGTTTACAAATCACCAGTTAGTTAATTTGAGAAAGAAAAATTCACATTTCAAAATAAAAGTAAATGTATACTCACTTTATGAAAATCATCACTGCTGTCTTTCCTTAATACCAGCAGTGGACATGTGAGTGGCTTATTCTACAAATTTTGGTGCTGGCAAATACATAGGCAAACTGTTGGGAGCTGCTCTGGTTACATTCCTCCTTTCTTATTCCCTTTTTCTCTTCCCCATTTTTTTCACAATATATTCCTGTACCCAAAGCATTCTACCACAGTTCTATTTGACTCCCACTTGTAATACCCCCTTTAAGCAATTCCGTGTTTAACCATGTGATCCAGCTTGCCCCCTCATGTTCTCCCTCCCTCTCCCTCTCCTTTCTCTCTCTTCCAGAAGTCATTTGCCCGGTTTGAAATATTTTTTAGGGCTTGCTTATTGCTATTATTTTAGCTGCTGAACCTCGGGACAATATATACACACACTTACACACCTACACACACATACACGCACACAAAATCTCAGCTGTTGAAGAGTGGGTTTGGAATCAGACTTCTGTGACCAGTAAAGAACTGTCCTGTGCTGAAGTCATTGTAACTTTAGTAGTTACAGACTGATTCCAGTGAACTTTATCTGATTTCTTTTAATCTAATGAATGTATCCACTTACCTTGTTTCCTTCTAAATTGATAAGCTCCAAGTAGTTGCTAATTTTTTGACAACTTTAACTGAGTTTCATTCAGTTCTTATACTAAGTGTTTTAAGTATGCTACCAATATTTCATTAACCTGTTCTCAAGTGGTTTAGCTACCATTCTGCCATTTGTAATTTTTATTTAATTTTATTTGCTTGAGCACACTCATCAACCACTGAACTACTTTCTTCCATTGTCCTGCAGTGAAATAAGGGTTACATTTTTGTGTATATGGCTTTCATAGTTGGGATTTCAGAGCACTGATACCAGATAATTTTCAGTTTGTTCTCTGGGGGAATTTCATTTGCGTCTATGTTTTTAGCTATCTGTGATAACTTGTTAAATATTAAAAAGATATTTTGCTTCTATTGGAACATTTGTATACTCGCAACTATATTTCTGTAAACAGCTGCAGTCAAAAATAAAACACTGAAAGTTTTCATTTTGCAGTGGGTAACTGTCTTTTTTTCCTCAAACTTTGTGAACAGAATTGTGTGCATGAATGGCAGTTTTGAGCAGAATAAGTATGTGACTGAAGTTAGAAAATTCATTAGGGAAGAGGTATGAAATATAGACACATTTCTGAGTAGTTATTTTGTGTCTGCCATTTTGCCAGGCAGAGTATAGTGACTCAGTGTGACAGAATTTTTGTTTTACTTAATTTAAGTGTTTCATGTTTAATAAATACATATACATGGAGGTGCTTTTGATGAAAACCAAGTCTCCCCATCCTTCAGTCCCATGCCCAGAGACAATCTCTGTTTATTCTTTTGGTGGTTATTTCTTCACCTCTAAATTAGTGTATATTAGAGTGTGGTACATATAACTACCAGTGATACGTGGATAAACATTATTTTTTAACTTGTATAAGTGTTTTGATGTATAATAGAAAAAAATAGGCCAGGCGTGGTGGCTTACGCCTATAATCCCAGCACTTTGAGAGGCCGAGGCGGGTGGATCACAAGGTCAGGAGATTGAGACCATCCTGGCCAACATGGTGAAACCCCATCTCTATTAAAAAAAAGAAAAAGAAAAAAATAGCCGGGCGCGGTGGCTCACACCTGTAATCCTAACACTTTGGGAGGCTGAGGTGGGTGGATCACCTGAGGTCAGGAGTTCAAGACCGGCCTGGCCATCATGGTGAAACCCCATCTTTAAATAAAATAATAAAAAGAAAAGAAATAAATATATGCCAGGCGCAGTGACTCATGCCTGTAATCCTAGCACTTTAGGAGGCCGAGGCGAGCTGATCACAAGGTCAGGAGTTTGAGAGCAGCCTGGCCAACATGGTGAAACTCTGTCTCTACTAAAAATACAAAAAATTGCTGGGCGTGGTGGCAGGTGCCTGTAATCCCAGCTACTCAGGAGGCTGAGACAGGAGAATCGTTTGAACCTTGGAGGTGGAGGCTGCAGTGAGCCGAGATCCTGCCATTACACTCGACTGGGTGACAGGGTGAGACTTCATCTTAAAATATATATATAATGTGTTTACCTACCAGAGTGGTGACAAAAGTGAGTCAAAGAAAACTATTAAATCACCAAGTTTGGTGGCTCATGCCTCTGTAATTCCAGCTACTCAGGAGGCTAAGACAAGAGGATCACTTGAGACCTGGAGTTAGAGACCAGCCTGAGGAACATAGCAAGACCCTGTCTCTATTTTTTTTTTCTTTTTCTTTTTTTTTTTGAGACGGAGTTTCGCTCTTGTTACCCAGGCTGGAGTGCAATGGAGCGATCTCGGCTCACCGCAACCTCCGCCTCCTGGGTTCAGGCAATTCTGCCTCAGCCTCCCGAGTAGCTGGGACTACAGGCACACGCCACCACGCCCAGCTAATTTTTTGTATTTTTAGTAGAGACGTGGTTTCACCACGTTGACCAGGATGGTCTTGATCTCTTGACCTCGTGATCCACCCACCTCGGCCTCCCAAAGTGCTGGGATTACAGGCGTGAGCCACCGCGCCCAGCCTTATTTTTTTAAGTATAAATGAAAAAGGAAGAAAAATATTAAATGAAAAAGAAAATAATAAATGCTAATACAAATACATGGATATCATGAATATGGTATCTAACTGAATCTTAAGAGACATTGCTTTAGACAGTATACTTACACCTTATCAAATACAGACAGTATTCTTGATTCTGTGAAGGAGTGACACTTCTTAATACATCCAAATGTACACTTCTAAATGAGTTGTTACTTAAGAGTGTGTGTGTGTGTATATAATTTTTTCTAATGCTGCTGTTATGAATACAGTGTATTTACATGTTGCCTTGCCAAGCATGGTGGCCCATGCCTATAATTGCAACACTTTGGGAGGCCGAGATAGGAGGACCACTTGAGCCCAGGAGTTCAAGACCAGCCTGGGCAACAAAGTGAGACCTCATATCTACAAAACATAAAATAATTAGGAGTCCCAGCTACTCAGGAGGCTGAGAGGATCGCTTACGTCCAGGAGTTTAAGGCTGCAGTGAGCTATCATCATGCCACTGCACTCCATCCAGCCTGGACAACAGACATTTTCTAAAAAAGAAAAAAGGGAAAGAAGAGTAAAAGTTGCCTTTTGGTATTTATTGACTTCAGTGACACTGAAAATGAGCAAAAACCAAATGTAGTAAGTATAAATATCAAATTATATACTTTGGCTCAAAAAAACAGCTTATGTGGGCAAAATACTGATCTGAAGATGGGACTGCAATAGGATGGGGCTGCCAGAAAATCTGATGCAGTCTCAGGTTACATAATTGAAGTACAGTGTCCAGAATAAGGGAGGTTATTGTCTTGTTCTACTCCAAGCTGGTAAGAGCCTTACTCTATTAAATGGACAAATTCTAGAAGAGAACTAAAATATCACTTATTCATGCTGAGAACACAGTAAGGACTCTAGAAATAAAAAAAATAGCTATAATTTCTCAGAAAAAGAGGTATTGGCTGCTACTCTCATGCTCTATTTTATGGAGCCATCTCTGTGCTTCTACTGAGGCAATATAGTGTTTGAAAGCATGGGCTGTTGAGTTTGCCCACAATGTAACCTCCATTCCTCAATTTCCTTTGCTGTAAATTGAAAACAATAAAACCTTCCTTGTAGAGTTGTTGAAAGAGTTAAGCAAGTTAGTCGATGTAAAATTACCTAGTTCCTGGCACCAATAAGTGCCTCCTAAGTGTTACCTTGTACTAGTATTACTAGTCCTGTTGCTCCTCTGCTCTTCTAGCTCTTGTCTACTACTCACATCCTGGTATGTATTAGTCTGTTTTTTGTTGCTTATAACAGAATACCTGAAGCTGGGCAATATATAAAGAAAAGAATTTTTTTGGCCAGGCACAGTGGCTCACGCCTGTAATCCTAGCACTTTGGGAGGGCGAGGTGGGTCTGATGTTAGGAGTTCAAGATCAGCCTGGCCATCATGGTGAAACCCCATCTTAAAAAAAAAAAAAGAAAAGAAATTTTTTAACAGCTATGGAGGCTGGAAGTCCAGGAGGAGGGGCTGCATCTGGTTAGAGCCTTCCTCCTGGTGAGGGCTTTCAAGAATCCCACTGTGCTGCAAGCTATCACGGCAAAGGGGCTGAGCATGCAGAGGACTCAGGTCTCTCTTCCTGTTTTAAAGATACCAGTAGCCCTCCTATGATAGATAACTCATTAATCCATGAGTAGTGAGTTAATTTATTCATGAGCACAGAACCCTCCCTCATGGGTTTTTTTTTTTTTTTTTAGATGGTTTTGCTCCATCACCCAGGTGGGAGTGCAGTGGCACAATCACAGCTCACTGCAGCCTCTTCCAGGCTCAAGCAATCCTCCCACCTCAGCCCCTACCCTGAGTAGCTGGAACTACAGGCACATCCCCACTACACCCAGCTAAGTTTTGCATTTTTGTAGAGATGGAGTTTCACCATGTTGCCCAGGCTGGTCTTGAAGTCCTGGCCTCAGGTGATCCATCCGCCTCAGCCTCCCAAAGTGCTGGGATTACAGATGTGAGCCATCATGCTGGCCCTCAGTCACCTTTTAAAAGGCCCCCCTTCTCAATTCTACCAGATTGGGGATTAAATTTCAACTTCAGTTTTGGAGGGGATAAGTATACAAATCAGCATTTTGGCTTTATCAAAGACTGTCATCAGTATCAAAACTCTTCCTTTGAGTCATTTCCATTGGCATATAAATTTGTTGTAATGTCTCTTGTCTCTTAAAAAAAAAATTGTTCTTTGATCACACATCCTCCTCCACACTATTTCTACTTCCTCTCCTTCCATTCTCTCTTAAACCCATTCAAATCAGGCTCTCATCAAGATACTCTACTGAAATGGCACTTGTCAATATCACCAACAAATGGGTTCCACATGGCCAAGCCCAGTGGTCAGTTCCCAGGTCTCATCTTGCTTGGCTTGTCAGCAGTATTTGACTCACCTGATCATTCCGTCCTTCAAACACTTGCTTCGCTTGGGTTTCAGGACACCACACTCAGCTCTGCTGTGTCCCTGAACGTTTTTTTTTTTTTTTTTTCATGGCAGATGGGAAATGTACTGATGTCATAACAAGATTCAAGGGTGGCATATCTCACCCATGCATGTGAACACCCAATCATCTCATTTAGGAACTACAAAAGGATCTGACCACTGCTTTTCACTCTCATCTTCACCTCCGAACACTGTTGAGCCCCAGAGGTCAATCGTCAAATCTCTTCTCTCAAAACCCAATGAGTTTGAGCCCAGCCAATCTCATTGCTTTAAATACCATCTGTTGAAGACCTAGATGTGCATCTCCAGCCATAACTTCTGCCTTAACTCTAGGTTCTTCCTTTTTTTTCTTTTTTTTTTGAGACAGAGTCTTGCTCCATCGCCAGGCACCAGGCACCAGTGGCCCAATCTCGGCTCACTGCGACCTCCACCTCCTGGGTTCAAGCAATTCTCCTGCCTCAACCTCCTGAGTAGCTGGGACTACAGGCACGTGCCACCACACCCAACTAATTTTTGTATGTTTAGTAGAGATGGGGTTTCACTATGTTGGTCAGGATGGTCTCGATCTCTTGACCTTGTGATCCGCCCGCCTCGGCCTCCCAAAGTGCTGGGATTACAGGAGTGAGCCGCCGTGACTCCTGATTTCAGTTAATACGCCTGCAGTGGCCTCCCAAAGTGCTGGGATCACAGGTGTGAGTCATTGCGCCCAGCCTGTTTTTCTTAATTTCTATACCACTCTCTTTCCCGGCTCTCTTTTAAATTTCCTGAGAGGACCGAATAGGTTGTTCCATTGCCATTTAGTAGGAAGTAGCCCTGCGGGATGAGCTGTGGGACCACGTCACCTAGGGGGTTCCAGCCGCGGTTTATGATTGAATCCTCTGATGTGTCTCCCACTAGATTCCACTATCATTAGCTTCACTGATACCAATGAGTGTGGATCTGTTTTGTAGAGATGAATTTTACTTAATTTGGATCTTTCAGAAATTTACTCAAAATTG